AGAAAACCACACACACACACACACACACACACACCCCCCCCCCCAATCAAAAAAAACAACACACACACCTATCAGATGTTTCTCACTGCTACATTTTTGTACCACCTTGTTCACAGCTGTTTCATTTGTGAGACCTAACCTTAGTAGTGGTTCAGTGACCCTCTTAATGGGCCACGTCCACTTGGGCTGAGCACTGATGTGCAGGTGTAGACGCAGCTCTTTGAGGAAGCGTGTCTTTGGTTTTTCCGGCACTTTTGCCTGCAGCCTTCCAAACAGCTGTGAGCCTTCTGGCTGAAGACCATGAAGAACTCAATTCCTATGATGCATTTCATATTAGAATTCCTCATTTCCTGTTTTAAAACATCCATTAAGGCCGACATGGATATTACTACTGAGTGGAAACCATGTCTTCTTTAACAGCATGCACTGATGTTCAAACCAGCAGCACTTGGAGAAAGTACAGAAGCACACTGATGTGCCTCTACGATGTATCCGTTTTATCTGTCAATCAGATATGACCATATGCAGTCTCCTCCACACAATCCCAGCTTTCACATTCCTCTGAGATACCGAATCAAACGACTGTCGTTCCTTACCAGGATCTTGTCAGCCTTGGCCTCACTGATGCCCTTGATGTTGAGCAGCTCCTTCTTGGGAGCGTAGGCCACTGCTTCAATGGTGTGGAATCCTGCATCCTCCAGCTTTTTGATGTCACTGGCACTGATTCCGCATTGCTGTGTGCAGAGGCATCAAAACAAAGAGCTGAAGCTAAATTCATAGAAAGAGTTTTTCAAGAAGCTGGAGGGTCTTGCACTTCACTGTCACAAAAAGCTGTGGATTACTCACTTGTGCTCTTTCCATATCAGCTGTGTTAAACAGTGCAGCTGCAGAGCACCCTCTAGTGGACAATCTATGCATTAACCACGACTCACTGAAGGGGTTTTCTACCTCCTCTTCTTTACTTTTTTACGTTTTTATTTATCAGTCGTTATAAATGCCAATAGTGATATTTCAGCAATTATCTAATGCTGTCTGACATATCAGCCCATTCTAAATCCAAGCTTCAAATACATTTAATGTTTAAAGTGCTTCTTCAGTCTTACTGACCAGTTGCAGAGCTTACTATCAGTAACACTATAGGCATACAAACTGCAGTCAGATTTTTTTTTTTTTTTTTTTTTTTAAAGGGCCAAGTTCAAAGACTGGTGGATCCTTCCATGAATCAATCAGTGGTTTCCACCTGGTGCTCCAAGAATCAGCTTATTGCTCATTGTAGAAGAAGAATCAGGTCATTTACAATTACTTCAGTATATGTAATGAAGCCACCTTCCTTTACACTTTGAACGTTGTCAGTTTTGTCACATAATACTTTGAACATACCATACTCATATTTTTTAATCCTTGCAGTCTGAGTGTGCAGATGGATTTGAGATCCTCTGTGATCCACGCCATGATCGTTTTAAATAGTTCTGTACTTAAGGTCATACAAAAAAATAAGGTGACCAAATTTCACCTCATACCTGAATGTGACATAATAATAGAAAAGTATTGAATTGAGTTTAGACGGCAGACTAAGAGCAAGCACACTTGTCCATCTGCATTTAAGTTTAGTGAATGAAGTCATTTTTGATCACACACACTAAATGAAGCCATACTGGCCACAAAAACGACTGAAACCAATGAGCACCATCGCACCCGCCGATCAGTTTCATTGGTCTTTGCAGTGCATGTATCCCATCTCTTCCCAACTGAATGCAACAGCAGTTGGCAGTGATCTGACCAAGAGGAGCAGGATCAGCGAACCCACAGCTCCGAGCTTCTATAGCAGACAAAACCAGGTGTTACAGAAACCACAGTGCACTAAGGACGGATACGTACCTCCAATCTGGATAGAGGCTGTGGCCCGTAGTTTTCCTCCTCCTCCACCTCCACTCTGGCCTCGCTCCTCATCGCCATGATCCAAGGAGAACCAGATCGGCTCCGCTCGGCTTGCTGATTGTTTGATGGTTAATACTGAAAGCTAAGCCAGAGAGCTAGCATGGAAAAGCCGCTTGATACAACTATGTTTTCATGATGATCGTCACACGGCAGGTTTTTTACTTTACCTTTTCATCTACCCTAAAACCAAACTTAAGTCTTTTTCACATTTAAAACATCTAAGAGACTATTCCATCTACACTTACACACTGTTAATACCCAGTAAAAATGTAACGTTTTTTTTCTAACACAGTAAATCGACAAATTCACGTTAACACACTTTAGCGACAAACTCGCCCATTATTTATGTGACCGACAGCCCAGGCGTTGTCACCGTGAAGCTAGAACGAGCTGCCCGCGCACTCTGCTGTCACCGTTGCTGTTAGTTTTTACAGTTACTGGGCTAAAAGTGGTCCTTTCTACGCGACTTCGGCCCTTACCTTCTTGCAGTTTTCTTGTTTTCCTCAAACTCCTCGGTGTGAAGCTCCCGCGCGCACATTCAGATTCAATGACGTTGTACGTAAACTGAGCCAATGGGCGCGTGAAAGAAGGGTCGTGAGAGACTGGAACCGGAAGTAGGTGCGTGACCCCGCTATTACCAAAGTATGGCAAACCGTCTAGGACAAAATTCGCCACTTTTTTAACGCTTCTGGTCACGAAATTACGTAACCGTTTAATCGCCGTTTAATAAGTCAGAACTTGTCCCCGACTGAACGCAGTATTTTACGCCAAAGAGTAGCGCCTTGAAGGAGCGTTCAAGGCGCAACTCTCTGGCGTAAAATACGGTGTTCTACGGGGTCAACACTTTATAAAAAAAAAACAAAAACAAAAAAAAAACCCCAGCCATAGGTGGCCAGTTCATGTTCATGATTTGTTTTCATATTCATGACATGTTTTAATGTTAATAGCAGCCTGTTAACACACAGCTGAACTTTGAACCTCTAAATTTGTTTCTTGTCAAGTTGTTCCCCTGCAGGAAGAGTGTTCCTTTCAGATAAAGTCATATTAATTGATCAAACTGTGTTTAAAGGTCCATTTCAGCCGTTAAGATGATCCATAAACACATGGATAAGTGATCATGGAGGGAAAGCTTTGGGGGCGGGGGGCTTTACACTTCAGCCTTCAGCCAATGTTCCTAGAACAAAAGTGACTGTCAGAGAACCTTTGGGGAACGTTCCCTGTTTGCTAAGAGCAATACTAAAAAGGGCACTTACAGTAGTTGTGGGCTGCACAGGTTTCAGAGGGGTCTGTGGTCACAGCGTACATTTATACCCAGTAGGGCATTAGAATGCTTTTGAATTTGAAAATGACTCTGGAAATATTAGAGTAAACAGTGTAATATGCCAATTTTAAGTGACAGGCCATCAAAAGTGAAGTGAAAAAAAAAGTTTGCTGTGCTAATCTGAAAGCTTTGATACACAACTCTGCATTTTAATTGACGCAGATGGATACCCCTCCCTGAGCAGTGTCTGCTCCAGGTTTCTTCCTGTTAAAAGGGGGTTTTTCCGAATGGCAAACCACAGATGAAAGACATGTTCTGTTAGGGTCCAGCGCACAAAGGCACATTTAGGACCACTCTAAATCTGGTTCTGCAATTGCTTGGGTTTAGTGGAGCAAATCAAACTTGCCATTGCTGACTCATATTCTGATCAATGTTCAGGTTCTTTTGTTTAAAACCACAGCACCTAAAGAAGCTGATAAATCTAAAACATTACTAGAGCTAAGCTAAGATACATCATTCACAGTGTAGATTTGTTGGAACAAGGTCAGTTGACTGAAATGTAACAGAGACACCATTTAAGCACCTTATTAAAAACACATTTATTAAATTTCTTAGGATGAAAAGGGAAAAATGAAAGTGGGAAATAAAAGTACATAAACATTACAAACAAAGGTAAAAAATACTGCTCTTTACAAACACGTTATTGTGTTTTACACATTTCTTCCTGTTTTGGAGACTTTGGCCACCACTCGTTTTTGTCCGTGTCCACAGTGACATCTGTAAATACACAAGACAAACACCACTAAATGAAAAACAAATACTGAAGCATTAATGGGAATTTTAGAAATATTATTATATTTATTCTAAAGATCTGTTTTTGTGCAGAGGCTAGTGACATCATACAGTCCTACCCAGTGATGTCACACTCCTCCACTGATTTACAGATAGTTGTAATGTACAGCAAGCTGTTAGTGAACAACAGCTAACTTGCTGCTCTTAAAAGACTTCAAACATGCGATTAGCAGGTGAAGATACATGGTGCATCTCTGTGTGGATGACTTTTTAGCTTTTGTTTGTCTGCAAGAAAACTGCAGACCAACTGAAACCTACTCTAAAACGCTGCAATGTTGTTAATGATGGTTTTCAATCATTTTTTTTCCATGCAAAAAAAAAAGAAAAAAAAAAGAGTGTACCCAACTCATGTTCATAAATAAAGCACCTGCCTGAAGTCGAGGTTTGAAATTCTGTTAATGGTTTCCTCATTATGTACTGCTGCCTTCATTAACATAGTACTGCATGTTGCCACGTGACTGTGACATGGCAACATCATGGAGGAAAAGTCGAGCACCGAGCTGACAGCCCAACTCGAGCAGTTTGTTTGGACACGTTTCTGCCTTTAATAAAGACAGAAACAGCAAACAAAAAAAAGAAAACTCAAATATAATTTTTCCTTTTTTCTTGGCAAAAGTTGTAGAACTAGTACACATAAATACGCAACTGGTGTTACACAAAGCCACTGAGTCACCACAAAACCCACTAAAGTGCAGCTGTAAGAGTTACTACACTGGTCACAGGGAGCTGGGTCTCCTAATGCATGCGTCTCTGACAAGGCTGATTTTTGCTTGTTACAAATACAAAAACTGCATCTCTACTATGGAACACTTTAAAATATAGAGTTCTATAATGTTTTAAAACACTAAAATAACAGGAGTAGCGTTATTCCTCCTGCTATTATTTGGGATTTCTTCTCAAATGAAAGGGACCAGACCCCGCTGAACAAGGTGGCCATGGCAGAAGAACATGTTACTGTGATTGTGGTTCTGAGAAGACCGGGGAAGTGCCATTAACCCGTGCTTCTGTTAGTATACCCCAAGTGACTGAACCCTACATCCCCACATGTTGTACGTTGTTACCCTGTTCTGGAGCTGCTGTTTCAGGAACACGGGAAACCTCTGACAAAACAAACCGCCAACATCTTTATGATATTCTGAAGCTTTTGAAAGAATGTGACAAAGTAGCCTACGCTGCAGTTTACCTGGAATGGTTCCAAGGCTCGAGTTGTCGAAGAACTGCTTGGGACAGTTTCGGGACAGTGTCTCAGAGCTTCCGCCCACATCAAAGAATCTGCTTTTGGGGGATTTGAGGAGAGAGGCCTTTGGCGAATCCAGCAGCTTTCTGGGTGACTCCAAACCCTTCCTGGGAGTGTCCAGGAGCTTCTTGGCAGGTATCAAAAACTTTTTAGGTGAGCTCAGCAGGTTAGAGGAGTCAGAGGTCATGGGAAAGCCCCTCTTGGTGGGAGTGCTAGGTGACTGAAGCTTGTCCTCTTCCACTTTGTTCCTCACCTTTAGTTTGATGGCTCTGTTCTTCCACTTGGTAATCTCAGCCTGCTGACTGGCAACCACACTGATGAGAAAGGAAGTCTGTGATTAGAGCTCGACTTCAATTTTTATGTCACAAAGTGATAACTATGGAATGTGATCTGCGTTTGTGCAGTGAGCGTTCAAACCAAACCACCATCAGGACAGCAACGGGCTTCATCTGAATGACAGTTTGTCTCAATATCTGATCAGATCTTAATCCTAGTGACACAACAACTTGTATTGTTGTCTTGGGAGACAATAGCACCGTCTATCAACTGGAAATAATTTGATGACTGTTAATGTTGCTAAACCAGTTTCAGAGGATAATTGTACGGCAAAACCAATTAGAAAGAAACAGAAGAGAAAACCTAAAATAACACAAAAAAACAACAACAAAAATCCCAGAAATGTGAGATTGAGACACAGTTTGTAACATTGTTCACGCTTAAGGAAATGCTTAATCAGCAAAAAAAATGCATATGAACTTGAGTGTCATCCCATTTTTAATCCATGAGGTTTGATATGAGGTCAGGCGAGCCTTTTCAGTTCTTGCCTGCCATTAAAGATGCAAGAAGCAGCTGCAATATTCTCCTAAAGGGTGGACACGATCATACACGTCTTCAGCCCACGCGACGGCCACGTACAACGCACCAAGTTACAAAAATCAAGAGGTGCACGATCGGCCGATGCGCCACAAAGAAGGATGTGATATGTGATATCTTCAAATTAGCTTTTAATGCAGCAGTTATGTTAATATGAATCATCCTTGTAAATAAATATAATATAATGCAAAAGGTGGCGATGTGCTTTACACCAGCGGTCCCCAACCCCCGGGCCTCGGACCGGTACCAGTCTGTGAGTCTTTGGTACCGGGCTGCGAGAGTCGAGGCTCAGGTGTGAAATGTATGGTTTTCAGGGTTTTTATCGGTTTTCAGCGTGATTTTGTTATCGTTTACTCTGTTTTCCTGGGTCTTTTCACGTGTGTTATGAATAAATTCTCTTTTTTTCGGTACCGGTACTAGTTTTATTTTGTTGTATTTATCCGCGACACCTTAAAGGCCGGTCCATGAAAATATTGTCGGGCATAAACCGGTCCGTGGCGCAAAAAAGGTTGGGGGACCGCTGCTTTACACTACTGCAAACAATGTTTTTGGATTGTGCTTGTTTATCTAAGGCTTGGATGCAGCTGCTCTCAAGCTCTCTATGCACTGTTCTTTCAAGCTGATCTGAAGGTCACATGAAGTTTGGTCTACCACTTTAAGGCAGAGTTGATGTCGTTCCCCATTTTTGTGTTAATACCAGCGACCCGTTGTTTCACAAATGTTTGTAGAAGCTGTCTGCATGCTTGATTCTATACACCTGTGGCCATGGAAATGACTGAACACCTGAATTCAGTGATTTGGATGGGCGAGTACAGCACAGTGCAGGTATAGATGATATTGATGGAGCAATACAGGGACATCATATGCATAGACAGTACAGAAGTAAATATGGAAAGTAGCATTTTAGATTCAAGATCTTATACCAGTTCAATGTTTCCCTGTTTGAGGGAGTTGTTCTACAAATGTTACTCCTGTACCACAAAAAAAAGAAAAAGAAAAGTGTCCTATTGGAACAAATGGAGATTTACACTCAAACAGATTTGATATCATTTCACGGTAAAATAATAAAAACTCTGAACTTCAACATGCATTTAAAATGGGTCAGTCAGCTTTAAGCTAATTAAAGATGATTGAAGGTTAATAATGCTATACTGATGCTGTCAAAGGAGCTTGCAAAGAAAAGCGTCTGGACTTCTTTAAGTTGCTTGAAGACGTTTCACCTCTCATCTGAGAAGCTTCTTCAGTTCTAAGGAAGAAGCTATACTGATGCTATTATATTAAGTTTTAATGCTGCTTTAATGCTGCTTCCATATGCAGACAAAATGTCTGCATATGGCACTAAAGCATGACTAATCAAATGGGTGGTTATTTATCAAACAGGCAGCAGTGCATTTGTATTTTTTACAGTTCACCATCAAATTTCCAATCATTATAATGTAGGATTCCTCAGAGTGAGTGTTACTGTATGTCATATTTACAAATGACCTGCTGCGTGTGCTAAAGAAGGTACTGCAACGTATGCAGATGGTAGTACAATCTGCTGATAGTAGAGAAGAGAAATTAAGAAAACACAGCAAGGGGAATTGCTGTTAATCACTCAGTGGGTTTCTGAGTCAAAGAGGGGGCTAATAACAGTTGCTAAGACGGGCATTTCAGTCATCATGTCCATGATAGCTGGAAGAAGAGCCACAAAGCTGTGTGTAGAATGTTAATGATTCCACAGCAGTAAAAACATCACTCAAAGTGTTTTCTACTTTAAACACACGTAGCGATTGTATTGGTTGCAAAGACAGTGCTGATGCAGTTACCTTTCCAGTTCTGTGATTTTCATGTGAAGCTGGCTGACTTCCTTCTCCAGCTTGGATTTCTCCATCAGAATACTGCTGCTGACCACAGAACTCCTGGGGTTGGTCAGTCTGGCATGAAGGTCTTTACCCTGCAAGACTGATTCCAACATGAATGCATCATTTAAACATGCTCCTTTTTCAATGGTTACACCTGAATTAGTTATTCATCGGTCAGATTTCTTTGTTTGTTAGCAGATATACATGCACAGCGCTGACACTTACACGACTCTTCTCCCTCCTGTTGGGATTTTCTCAAAGTCTCTTTAAGCTTCCTCAGTAACTGTTCTTTTTCCTCCAACAGTGTGTTCATCGCCTGGATCCTGGAAGACAGAATGCCGGTCATTAGAGTCAGCAGTCCTGCAGCAGGCCACAGGTCTTGACACCACTGACCCTGAAAACAACAGTGGAGAAAAACTAACAAACAAAAGTGTAAGAACGAATTCAATAGCTCTTTACTCTCGTTTGTGTTCGTCGGATGCTGAGCTGAGCTTCATCTCCAACTGCAACAGCTTGGTCTGAAGCTTCTCCAGCTCAGCCGCACTGGGTGATGATTTTTTCTGAACCAAGAAGGACAAAGATCATCGTACCAGCTACTCATTCGTCAGATAACCAAACTGAAGTGCAGCTGCGCTGTTATATGAAACCAACAAACCTCAGATTCTCGAATTTTGCTCTTCAGAGCTTGTATAGCGTTCTCTTTCTCTTCAACTAGTGCACGGTTGTCCTGCAGCTCAGTCTGCAGGAGTTGTGTTGCCTCTTTGTGGTTGGAAACTTTGGCATCAGCTTTGATGCGTGCCTCCTCCAGCTGCTCATTTTGAATATGCAGAGCCTGAAAGTGAAACACATTCTTCATTATTATCTGTGGCTCTCAACTTCACCAAAACAAACAGTGCATTGGTCGGGGACTAGTTTGGGTGGTGAATGAATCCACCATTGGATGCTCCGATTTCTAGTAGCAAGCTGGTGTCTGTAAGCGTGTGTGTGTGTGTGTGTGTGTGTGTGAGAGAGACTGTGTGTTTTCATGGTAATGAAGGAACACATCACCCAGTACTAACTGATGTTTCAACTGCTTTGAACAAGAGAAGGAAAGAAATAAGAAACCGTGTGGCAAACACACTTTCACTTTTTCCTCTGCGTGTTTCAGCTGAGAAGCTAGCTGCTGGGTTTCCTTCAGCAGAGCTGCGACTGTCAGAAGCGCTCCCTCCTCCAGCGCCTGCAGCAAAGTGGAACTTTTGCTTTTCACCTCCCTAAGGTGAGACTCTGCCTCAGCCTCCAGCTGTTTTAGCTCTTCAAACAGACCCTTCTGCTCATCAGTGATACTCTATGGGAGGTAGGTGGAAAAAAAGAGCAATGCGGTAAATATCATTTAAAAGATTTCTTCTAATCCTAACTAACCAATCCCCCAAGCAGCCTGTGATGTGCATCTAGATTAAGAGCCAATCATTTGATTCATTCTGAGAGCTGGAATTATCCATTCAGAGAAATCTTTGTCAAACACGTCAACTGACCTGCAGAAGACATTTCTTGCTTTGTATCCCTGCCGTTCTGCGGTCAGACTCCGGCTCCAGGATGCTGTCCAGCCCACTGAAGCTAATTGGCTGGTTGGTGATCAGGACCTGCAGCTGCTTATTGAACTTGAATCGTCCTTGAATCTCACCCTTCAGCTCATGGAGGTAGGAGGTCATGTGGTCCCAGAGCTTGTCCAAAATGCTGCTCATTTTCTAAAAAAAAAAAATCAGCAAAGTCACCATAAAGTACCAGTGATGGAGAAGTGGATGCACATGAACAGGAGGGAGTAAAATCAAATCTGTCTCCAGCTTCAACAAGTAACAACCTTTGTTGCAAGACTGACAATACAGCTTGTTATACACCACGTGACTAATAATGATAAAGTAGACACCAGAAAAGTACAGTCTTCTTCTCAACTTCTCAGAAGCTGGTTTCTTTGAATGGGACAGAGAGAGTGTCCAAGTGTTTCAGGGGGCAGGGCAGAAGGCTCACCTCCATGTAAAGTTGCCTCCTGTCCAGCAGCTCAGGCAGTCTCTGCTCCCACAGTGTGTCAAAGCCCTCGACTTGAACAGAGTGGCTGGGCGCCTGCGCTCTGCATAGAAGCACATCCTGCAGCCGTCTCTCCTCGAAGACGGCCAAGTTGTTTTTCACCAGCTCCTCAAAAATGTTCCTGTAGCCAAGTGCCTTCACACGCAGCAGCTCCTGTGGGAAAAGGACCAGAGATGACTTCATTCAAAGACCAGCACATTTAGGAAATTTTGTAGTACAGTCAAACTACAGCCAGTTACTTGAATTTTTCTGAGATTTTCATCAGTTGACTGTCCCAGCTGAAAGACCGCATCATAGGCATCCTTGGTGGCCTTGGGAAGAGGATGCTTCAGGGAATGCCGCTCCCTCAGGCCCTTGTCCTGAGTTATATTGTCATAACTACAACAAGTGTCTATGAATTGCTGGAAGCTTTTGAAGGACTCCTATAATGACAAGAACCAGGTAGCATCAGAGTTATGATCACACTGCATGCTAGAAAGACATTTGAGCTGCAGAGCAGTCAGTGAAGCCGTTACCTCAAGCTGTGTGGTGGAGTTTTGCAGTTGTGACGACAGCAGCTCCTTAGTCCCGCTGGTGCTCGGCTCTGACCTGCTGAGCTGCTCTCTGAGAGCAGAGATGGTTGCGTTCGCTTCGCTGAGCAACTGGAAATGAAAATAAAATCACAGTCAGCATTTAGCCATCCTCCACTTTATGCCAGCGATTTATTCTTGCGTGTAATTGACATTCCAGCTTTTCATCTGCGTAGAAACTCTCTATTAAAGAATGTCACTTCTGACAAGCTAGCTAAAATATGAGATTCCCTCCAGTCCACCTAAATATAGTGCCTTTCTACTTTACCTGAGCTCTGATGAATGCATTCACACACGTTCACACCAGTCAATCCAAGTCGGGAATAATGGAAAAGGGACATTATTACTGCAGCCCACTAGGGGGCCTCAGTTCACAATTTGGGAACCACTGTTTTACAGCAATACTGAACAGAGCACCATGTTTGTGTCCCTGCCATACAAGACAGGAAGTATCAGCACTCTCCAACTCAGTCCTCAGCTTTTAATCATAAATGGACTGGTGCTTACATCACACGTCTCAGTAATCCGCACACTATGTTCAGTGTCTTGCCCAAGGATAATTCAGCATGCAGATTAGAGGAGCTGTGGACTGCATTATCATAATCCAAAATTATGGTTCTAAAAAGGAAACAAATGAGAGCAAAGACTCACCTGCTGCACTGCATCTGCTTCACTTTCAGCCTGAGCGCGTCTTTCTGTGTGCATTTGAACTTGCTCTTTAAGCTGCAGTATCTGACAAAAACAGAGCAGGTCGAGGTGTGAGCATGCAACACAGCTAACAACAGTGCTAACTGGGATGGAACCCATTTAGACCAATGGAAAAGGTTTTGAAAGTGGGGCTCATCCATGTTTAGAAAAATTGTCAAAAACCACCAGCTGCAGGATCAAAAACCGAGAGCACTCAGTAAATCGACATGCACTTCTTCCGTGTAGGCAAGGCTGCAGAGGTTAGGATACACTTATGCAGGGAATGCCGACGTGCATTTGTAACATTAAATGTGTGTCAGTGGTAGGTGGTCGGGCTAGCTTCCCCACAGCTTTCATACTAATGTAAGCATCCAAAGTCGAAACAAGCAGAAAATGACTGGGACCTACGTCTTGTTGCAGCTTGGCTTCTTGCTCTCCTCTCTCAGGCTGCTGCTGCATGTTCAGCTGACTCAGCTTGTCCTGGATGGCTGAGATCTGCAGATGAATGAGAAAATGTGATCAAGTTTCAAGGCTGCTCTTCCTGTTCTCGGTCACTTTAGAATAGCACTAATTTACCATCTGCATCCTGTCCTCCAGCTCTGCCCGGAGCTGCTGCTTCTCCTGCCTCAGACCCTTCAGGATCTCCTGCAGCTCGTCTCTCTCCTCGCTGACAGACGTCACTCTGCACAGCAGCTTCTCCATCTCCTCTGTGGAGGTCTGAGTGCTGAGCT